CTACTAAACAGACCTACTACATATCACTATACACCTCAGTCGGTACTGAACAGTCCTACTATATATCACTTTACACCTCAGTCTCTAATAAACAGTCCTACTACATATCACTATACACCTCAGTCTCTAATAAACAGACCTACTAAATATCACTATACACCTCAGTCTCTAATAAACAGACCTACTAAATATCACTATACACCTCAGTCTCTAATAAACAGACCTACTACATATCACTATACATCTCAGTCTCTAATAAACAGTCCTCCTACATATCACTATACACCTCAGTCTCTAATAAACAGACCTACTACATATCACTATACACCTCAGTCTCTAATAAACAGACCTACTAAATATCACCATACACCTCAGTCTCTAATAAACAGACCTACTACATATCACTATACATCTCAGTCTCTAATAAACAGTCCTCCTACATATCACTATACACCTCAGTCTCTAATAGACAGACCTACTACATATCACTATACACCTCAGTCTCTAATAAACAGACCTACTAAATATCACTATACACCTCAGTCTCTAATAAACAGACCTACTACATATCACTATACACCTCAGTCTCTAATAAACAGACCTACTACATATCACTATACTGATGAATGTCTCTAATAAACAGACCTACTAAATATCACTATACATCTCAATCTCTAATAAACAGACCTACTACATATCACTATACACCCCAGGCTCTAATAAACAGTCCTACTACATATCACTATACACCCCAGGCTCTAATAAACAGACCTACTTCATATCACTATACACCCCAGGTTCTAATAAACAGTCCTACTACATATCACTATACACCCCAGGCTCTACTAAACAGACCTACTACATATCACTATACACCTCAGTCGGTACTGAACAGTCCTACTATATATCACTTTACACCTCAGTCTCTAATAAACAGTCCTACTACATATCACTATACACCTCAGTCTCTAATAAACAGATCTACTAAATATCACTATACACCTCAGTCTCTAATAAACAGACCTACTAAATATCACTATACACCTCAGTCTCTAATAAACAGACCTACTACATATCACTATACATCTCAGTCTCTAATAAACAGTCCTACTATATATCACTTTACACCTCAGTCTCTAATAAACAGTCCTACTACATATCACTATACTGATGAATGTCTCTAATAAACAGACCTACTACATATCACTATACACCTCAGTCTCTAATAAACAGACCTACTACATATCACTATACACCTCAGTCTCTAATAAACAGACCTACTACATATCACTATACATCTCAGTCTCTAATAAACAGTCCTACTACATATCACTATACACCTCAGTCTCTAATAAACAGACCTACTACATATCACTATACACCTCAGTCTCTAATAAACAGACCTACTAAATATCACTATACACCTCAGTCTCTAATAAACAGACCTACTACATATCACTATACATCTCAGTCTCTAATAAACAGTCCTCCTACATATCACTATACACCTCAGTCTCTAATAGACAGACCTACTACATATCACTATACACCTCAGTCTCTAATAAACAGACCTACTAAATATCACTATACACCTCAGTCTCTAATAAACAGACCTACTACATATCACTATACACCTCAGTCTCTAATAAACAGACCTACTACATATCACTATACTGATGAATGTCTCTAATAAACAGACCTACTAAATATCACTATACATCTCAATCTCTAATAAACAGACCTACTACATATCACTATACACCTCAGTCTCTAATAAACAGTCCTACTACATATCACTATACACCTCAGTCTCTAATAAACAGTCCTACTACATATCACTATACACCTCATTCTCTAATAAACAGACCTTCTACATATCACTATACACCTCAGTCTCTAATAAACAGTCCAACTAAATATCACTATACCCCTTAGTCTCTAATAAACAGACCTACTACATATCACTATACACCCAAGGCTCTAATAAACAGTCCTACTACATATCACTATACACCTCAGTCTCTAATAAACAGACCTACTACATATCACTATACACCTCAGTCTCTAATAAACACTCCTACTACATATCACTATACACCTCAGTCTCTAATAAACAGACCTACTACATATCACTATACACCTCAGTCTCTAATAAACAGTCCTACTACATATCACTATACACCTCTGTCTCTAATAAACAGACCTACTACATATCACTATACACCTCAGTCTCTAATAAACACTCCTACTACATATCACTATACACCTCTGTCTCTAATAAACAGACCTACTACATATCACTATACGCCTCAGTCGGTACTGAAGAGACCTACTACATATCACTATACACCTCAGTCGGCACTGAAAAGTCCTACTACATACTATTACTTCACATACTACTTAACACATCTCGGTATTACATTTAGTGAACGTGACATCCCATACCAACGGTTTGGAGCATATTTCAGCAACTCAGATTGTTCCACGGAGCTCAACCTTCAGGCATGTGTAATTGGCTTTCCTCATGCAAGCCGACGTTCTTTATGGTCGGTATGTGAAAGGTAACACGCGATGAAACGACTCAGGTACAGAGATGCAAAGCATGATATTAGCCTTTTAATGTATTCAAAAAAGCTGTCGAGACTTGGTGAACACTATACTATACAGTTTTGTTGTTCTTTGAGTGGTTAGCAGTGAAAGGGTTATCAGCCGACACATCGCTGGTACAGCAGGTGCACTTTGCCTGTGCTGTGGCGGACTTTGTCAGATCTAATCGAACCTTCTATTGCCAATGCACCTTTGAACAGCAACTGGCATGAGCGCTACAACAAAGAGGTTCTAATTCTAGTGTTGTGTGAACCTCCGGTTTTAACTCAATACGTCATTATTGCTTAATAAGAAAATGTAACTGAGCTTTGTTTCTGAAATCCAGTACGCGAGTTCATCTACTGTGTGTCTACAGATATTTCACATGTACAAGTACTTGACTGATTGGACAAGCTACATCTACAAGTATTTAAAACTGATTGGACAAGCTACATCTACAAGTATTTATGACTGATTGGACAAGCTACATCTACAAGTATTTATGACTGATTGGACAAGCTACATCTACAAGTATTTATGACTGATTGGACAAGCTACATCTACAAGTATTTATGACTGATTGGACAAGCTACATCTACAAGTATTTATGACTGATTGGACAAGCTACAGGTACAAGTATTTATGACTGATTGGACAAGCTACAGGTACAGGTATTTATGACTGATTGGACAAGCTACATCTACAAGTATTTATGACTGATTGGACAAGCTACATCTACAAGTATTTATGACTGATTGGACAAGCTACATCTACAAGTATTTATGACTGATTGGACAAGCTACAGGTACAAGTATTTATGACTGATTGGACAAGCTACATCTACAAGTATTTATGACTGATTGGACAAGCTACATCTACAAGTATTTATGACTGATTGGACAAGCTACAGGTACAGGTATTTATGACTGATTGGACAAGCTACATCTACAAGTATTTATGACTGATTGGACAAGCTACATCTACAAGTATTTATGACTGATAGGACAAGCTACAGGTACAGGTATTTATGACTGATTGGACAAGCTACAGGTACAGGTATTTATGACTGATTGGACAAGCTACATCTACAAGTATTTATGACTGATTGGACAAGCTACATCTACAGGTATTTATGACTGATTGGACAAGCTACATCTACAAGTATTTATGACTGATTGGACAAGCTACATCTACAAGTATTTATGACTGATTGGACAAGCTACAGGTACAGGTATTTATGACTGATTGGACAAGCTACATCTACAAGTATTTATGACTGATTGGACAAGCTACATCTACAAGTATTTATGACTGATTGGACAAGCTAGAGGTACAGGTATTTATGACTGATTGGACAAGCTACATCTACAAGTATTTATGACTGATTGGACAAGCTACAGGTACAAGTATTTATGACTGATTGGACAAGCTACATCTACAAGTATTTATGACTGATTGGACAAGCTACATCTACAAGTATTTATGACTGATTGGACAAGCTACAGGTACAGGTATTTATGATTGGACAAGCTACATGTATATGGACAAGCTACATCTACAAGTATTTATGACTGATTGGACAAGCTAGAGGTACAGGTATTTATGACTGATTGGACAAGCTACAGGTACAGGTATTTATGACTGATTGGACAAGCTACATCTACAAGTATTTATGACTGATTGGACAAGCTACAGGTACAAGTATTTATGACTGATTGGACAAGCTACATCTACAAGTATTTATGACTGATTGGACAAGCTACATCTACAAGTATTTATGACTGATTGGACAAGCTACAGGTACAGGTATTTATGACTGATTGGACAAGCTACATCTACAAGTATCTATGACTGATTGGACAAGCTACATCTACAAGTATTTATGACTGATTGGACAAGCTACATCTACAAGTATTTATGACTGATAAGACAAGCTACATGTACAGGTATTTATGACTGATTGGACAAGCTACAGGTACAAGTACTTATGACTGATTGGACAAGATACATGTACAGGTATTTATGACTGTTTGGACAAGCTACAGGTACAAGTACTTATGACTGATTGGACAAGCTACATCTACAAGTATTTATGACTGATTGGACAAGCTACAGGTACAAGTATTTATGACTGATTGGACAAGTCACATGTACAAGTATTTATCAGCGATTGGAGTACATGCAGGTACATATGTAGGTATGTAGCATTTATTGGAGTAGTTTAATGTGTATGAGTTAATGTCATGGCAGGCTGCTAATATGGTCAGTCCCAAGTTGGATATCTTTGACCCATTGTCTCGGGATGAACCATGTGTAGTCAACATCGATGACCATCTGCCCGGTTGGTCAGAAGGACAAATGAAATTGCATTTGTTACATTTACTGTTTAAGTGATAAAACGCCGAGTCGTTCCATATAAAATAATATTTTATTGAATATTGTCATAATATATATACAGACATTTACATTACTGCTTATGCCAAAATGTATAATCGTCCAAATATTATTTCTTCATATATCGGGTGTATATGCCATTATGAAGGTAATATTTGGGAGAACGTGGATTGTGTTTCGGCAAACTCGCGTTCAGTAGGGTGGATTCAAAGGAGAACGATTGTTCTGACACATGGAGACTACAGTAAGAATATTCAATTCTGTAACGACGTGAAGGTGGAGAAATGACCCTCATCAATGAACAGTTCATGGCTTACAAATATGTGACAACTATTTACCCTCGAGAGCCACAACAACCCAAGACAGCTATGGATCTAGCCTAATGGAGTGTAGGTCCAAACATACTCACTTGATACGGGAAAAGGGTGTATTCTTTCTTGGACCATTTTAAAAATAACGAATTTGGCGCATATTCTTTATACCAATCGTACTTCGCCTCGTGTTCAACACCAATGGGATAAATTTAGGACTGGTCCGCTCGCAGTCTGCTCACTACGCCTGAGTGGGAATTCATTCGTCCCTGACTCGCAATACTCTTTGTATCAGGCAGGAATGTGATTCAAATAAAGATAATAATTACATATATATGAATGCCACATCAATAAACTGTTGGAGAATTGTGGCTCCCTCATATCGATGTCAGAGTTGAAGTATTGGTGATCTGCGGTTCCCATAGTTTATTAACCTTGTGCAAAAGTATTGGCCAAGAATGCTAAGGACTTTGCTGCTGCTACCTGCAATTCACCAGCCGTCAACACATAGCTATGACCCACAGTAACGCTGCCTTGCAGTGAGATGCTGAATCTGCCGTGACATGAATTATGAACCAGAAACATGACTGAGACGATTGGACTCACGACTTTCTTCGCAAAACGAACTGAAACAGCATCTGTTGCCGAGAGACGAAACCCACCTGAACAAATACAATCATTCATGGATGGAGGGATTCTTATTTAACGTTAATTGGTGTGGGTAATGAGGTTATACATGTTTATGTTTAAATACTGTAATTATACATAACTATGACTCTTTGATGTACACTTGAACTTCGCTGACGCCCCATACATTATCATGGTCTTGGACGTCAATGTACATAACTTCTTTGAGGGGCAAACTGAAGTTGGTGTGATGAACTAAGGGGTTGTTCTAGAGATATACAACTTCTTTATTACAATAAATGGATATATTGTGATAAAGAATTTGTTTATACATTATCCCCTGTGTTCATACTGTACGTATGGGGTTCAGGAGCAATATCAGCCAAAACATGTCTCATAGTACGAATGCAGGACATGCTGAGATGGTCAAATATCTACTTCTTGCCAGTATTGTTCAACCTTACGGAATTGTAGTGTATCAGCAGATTTCAACAAGATTGTGGCCATTAACATGCATGCGAAACGTGAATGAACCCTTTGCTTCGACTAAATAAATGATGATATGATGAATATGCGTTCCCTCTCTTATAATGATCACGTTTCTTACATGGAAGGGAAGTGTGCACCTTTGTTTGCATACACAACCTTGACACCCGGTGTCTGACAACTGAGATCACGTGACAAGCTCTGGTGTGGTGTATCCGCCAAGCAATACAGCAAATGCGACAATGTGATGAACTGCTATACATAGACACTAACATGTTATCCCCACTGGCTGAGAGAACCTAGGATGCAAGATGCAGGCGCATGTGGTATTTCAGGATAACAAGGTATGAAGGGTTTGTGAGGGAGTATGACAATAACATTATCGCAATATCCAGATGGTTTTCTTCGATAACTGTTTGTTAAGGTTATAGAGCACCTTTGAGCATGGTGGCACATGTACATCAACAAACAACCGTGCACTCCACTATTGATATGGTCATGTTAAAGGCTTACATGCTATTTTGGTCCCATGCTATTTCGAAGTACGACAATGCTGGCATGTCGCTTTGCCCACAACGAGAGTCGGGTGATGGCCGCTGTCCAGTAACTCTCTTGGGAGCCATCTTGCCATGCATTGGCCACTACATAGGTGATTGGTTTGGTACTCTTGTACTGCTCTAGTGCCACCTTATTGTTGAGAGTGAAGTTCTTGGAGCCATCCACATAGTTCAACTTCCTGGAGAACAAGGGGAGAATCCCAAACATATAGACATCGTCAATGGATATATAAGGGGCTTGGAAGGACGATTCAAACAGTAATGGAATACTATCAGCTGTCATTATCACTACGTAGCCGGAACAGAAATCAGGAAAAGTTGTTTCATCCGGCAGAACGTCTGGCGGAACAAACCACTTGTCTTTCGGGTTCCTAATGATGACGCTGGTCCCGCGCTTTTTATAATGACAAACAACTGTTCGCTGTTTTTTGTATATCATTGGAAGAACATCCTCAACAACCATAAATATATTCACGAACATATCGTCATCAGCCTTGACGACGTAACGCGCTTGCAAACAATTGTCGTTGATCCAGTTTATGGCAGTCATTGCTTTATACGTCAGGTTGCGGAATGAATCAGTGAAGTCTCCCTGGACTATGTCGCCGTAAACGGAGTTCTCGTTATTTACCCTAAGCTGTGTGTCCGCTTTGGAAGGAAGGCCCAATATAAATATAGCTCGGACCGTTATATCCTTAAAGACGTTCCTGTTGGCCCAGGTTTCTCTGAGAATTCTCCTCCTTTGAAAATTATCACAGGCACTATTGAAATAGATGAGTATATCCACTTTTGAGTCATTGCAAATATCACTTGACAAGACTATGCCAGGCAAAAAGGGGTGCTGTTGTGAGGTTTGAAAGGAATGAACTACTGGTCTCAAATCGAAATAATCACGAAATATATCCTTGGTAACAGGGGGTTCAGTTGGAGCTGCCGCAGCTTGTGAAGTATATTTACTCGCATTTAATCCCGCCCGTTCTTTTCCTTGAAGTGGAAATTGTTTATTGACGTATTCCGATAATCCAGTCAAGTGATAACTGCGCTTGGTGAAGGCAGTGTGTGACGTAAAGCCTGTCGCCATCAATACAGTAACGACACAAATAGCCGTCACACACGTCACGAGGACCTGTTTAATCCGAAGATATGTCGAAAATCGAATCCTTCCCATTGTCGTCCTTCACTTTGGATCACTTTACCGACATGCTTCAGTCACTGGAATAGCAGCTCGTAGATTTGGCTGATTGAGGACACGTAACACACAGGGTGTCATCTCTCCATCTCCAACGCTGTTTGACAAAGGTCAGCGTGAATGGATGAGGCGAAATGGAGGTTGACGGCCATCTTTGTCCTGAAGGAAGAAAGAAGCCAATATCAGCCAAATCCACATCGCTATTGCCATACTTCATCCTCCTTAAACAACGCTTATCTGTATTTCCTTAAGATCCATGCTTTAAGAGTTTCCTCAGTATATAATTGGGGAGGAATACGCGTTTGATTAATAGCTGTTTATTATGAACACGGCGTGGTCCATTGCAGAAGCTGAGAAATTGCCATATGAACAGTCCCTAAGTAATGAACAATAATAATAATAATAATAATAATAATAATAATATGTCCATTTACAAAACGCCAACCTCCATACGAGGTATGCTCCTAGCTCTAACAATGAAAAGCACAGCACATTATTACCACGGATAACCCAAACTCCTTGTTAGGCGCTAGAAGGTTATAGTCACATGATTTATCCCAACGGGTACCCATGTTCTGCTGGGTGAACAGGGGCAATTTTGAACAAATTCACTTGCCTAATGTGAGACCACATGTGTCACATGTGCTTCGTTGTGGGGCAGGACTGAAGTCCTAGAAACTCTCAGGAGTCAAGCTGCCAAACCCAACCATGTACTCTCCGCGCCCAGCGTTGTTTAACTTCACCAGATTGGGACCTGAGCTCTATGCACCACACTCCACCACAAGTTCGCGCAGTCCTTGTCGCAGTGGAGATACAGTACATAACGAGATCAACTGGCCAACTGTTTGGATGGCAATGTCTGTTACCGGACATATGGTATTTGCAATACCACACATACCAAGTTGAGCAGAGTCGGCTGACGATGGTTTTCGGAGGGGTGAGAGCAGCATCGACACCAAGGGGCTCGATCAGTCAAGACTTGCGGGAACATAATGTCTCTTATACTTTCCTTCCCACACCGCACAGAATACGTGATGTCATTAATGCGCGTTGTGTGAATAATGATTGTCATCTGAATATGAAGAATGAAACAAACATTAATAAATGTTGTTCGATCACATGCCTAGGTATCCTCCCATTGTCGTCGCGAGGGACCACATACCAGACGAACTAGGGTCTGTCTGATAAGGTCATGTCCAGATTACATTCAGGAAGGTGAATAATACGGCAGTTATAGAATTATTCCCAGATGAAACCACGTGACATGAAGTCTTACTCGATAAAGCAATCTCCTTGCTTGCGTCCACGAGTGGTGGAAATTGTAAGCCATTTGAAGCCTTATCATTTGAAACAAGAAGACAAAGTCATCAATATACCCCGTAATGGCAAATACTCTTCATGAATATGTCAACTAGTCGTGACAATGTCAAATGTTTTGGTGTGTATGTAGCAGTGAGTGAGTGAGTTAAGTTTTAGGCCACACGGCGGTCTCTAAATAATAGAATCTGGACCAGATAATCCAGTGATCAACAGCATGAGCATCGATCTACACAATTAGGATACAATGATATATGTCAATCAAGTCTGTGACTAGGAGAGTATTAAAGGTTTTAAGTTCTGCTCCGGAAAAGAGCACTACCACCAATTTCAGTCGAAGTCAAACTTGTTGCCATGGAAACGCAAAATATGTTTTATTCAGAAATCCAAAATTACCAAAAGGCACCAATACACCACAAGACCTATCTATGTGCCAAGTTTGGTGAAGAATTATTCAACGGTTTAAAGTTCTGCTCCAGAAAAGAGCACTACCACCGATTTCAGTCGAAGTCAAACTTGTCATGGAAACGCAAAAAAATATTTTACCAGTTCATCACCAGACCTATCTATCTGAGACGTTTAGTCAAAACAGTATAGAACGGTTTTAAAGTACTGCTCCGGAAAAGACAAATGTGCACGGACGGACGGACGGACGCACAGACGGACTGCATTTTAATACCCCCCGCAAAACGTGTTGCAGGGGACAACAAAGAACATAACAAAGAAGATCATTACTGAAATAGATAACCATTTTACACAAACAAAGTACGAGTAACGATGGAGGTTGAATTACTTACTGAAACCGAACATATATTTTGAACCATAGGACCACACTGATTTCGGATCACTGCGAGAATAGTTCCTTCAGCATAGATGTTGACGAAGTCCATTAAATAACATCCTTATACATCTCGCTCGGATCTATATTTGACCTTGACCGTCACATGACGCCAGATAAAGGATCATTCAACGTCAGTAGCGTTTGAAAAGGACTTAGATATTGCAAAAACACTTTGGTCGTATCGTCTATAATGTGAAAACCTTTTCTCTGTTTGTGTAATAATCATTACGGTTATCATTGTTATCATTCTCAGAGTTGTCTCGTAATGGGAGGAGCAGACACGCAGACACGCACACACACACGCACGCACGCACGCACACACACACATGGACGCGCACGCACACGATCTCACACGCTTCCTCCCTCTCCGTGATGGTGAGTAGGGATTGTCTTTAGCAATAACAAACAAGATTATGGAAATGGACGCAAGGTTATAGCCGATCTACAGACATTCATCAAACAAAACAGCGTGGACTGAAGCCCCTTGCAATAGAAGAGAGTGGCCGGGTTAGGTGTCTGTTTGCGACAATTCCTGTATTCGAGTAGGGACATTTTCCTCATTTCAATGAAAAATCGGTCATTTTGATCTTTCTGCCTTGTACACAAATCGGTCATTTTGATCTTTCTCCCTTGTACACTAAGAAAAAAGCGTCCTCCCTACGTCCAGGCACGGCATGAAGTTACTGTGCACACGATGTTGCTAGTGCCCCTGTCGTCAGCCAATGGGGACAGCGTGCAGGCAGAGAGGTAGACGGTGTATACAAACAGATATGAGTAGAGTGTTTCCTCAGAGCCGGTGTGCGATTTCTGACCAGATTTTTGTAAACCTTAGCAAATGATAGAGCACTGAGTTCAAACATGGCTGTTGTTTATGCAGATTCCTACAATACCTGATACCTTCATTGACTCCCTCTCTCCCGGCGAGGGGAGCGTGACATTTATCTTCTTTGGGTCATATAAGGAAGCGGTTTTTCACATAACCCGAAAAGTTTAATACTTCCCCAAACTATTTCAAAATCATTACTCCTTTCCAAAGTTCGAGGAAGTAATCTTCAAAGGTCATTCTTTCCTGGGCGATATAATTATTGAAATCCAATCAGATGTTATACATGTTCCTTGAACTGCGCATAAATTCAATGCTTATATAATGGTGTCCTTGTTTTATCCCCTTCATGAGGTGATACAGAAATGACCAAGGTATTGTAACCCATGTACTGGATTCGAACCGGGTCTATCGGTCACTTCAGACCAACGCTTTTAACCACTCAGGCTATTTTCCGCCCCACCTGAAATATATACCTGAACTCTTCGTCGTGTTTATTTATACTGCAGTCATCGCCCGGACGTACTCGTGGTGTGGCTACTGGTCATACACGTGCAGCTAGTGGATCTTTATGATGCATCATATTCCTTCCATCATTATCAGTGTTACTATTTCCCCCTGTCCATCATTACATATTAGTGTTTATATTCCCTTGTCCATCATTACCTATCAGTGTTACTATTCCCCTTTATCCATTATTACCTTTATCAGTGTTACTATTTCCTGTCCATCATTACCTTTATCAGTGTTCTATTTCCCCTCTGTCCATTATTACCTTTATCAGTGTTACTTTTTCCCTTTGTCCATCATTACATATCATTGTTACTTATTCCCCTTTGTCAATCATTACCTATCAGTGTTACTATTCCCCTCTGTCCATTATTACCTTTATCAGTGTTACTATTTCCTTTGTCTGTCCATCATTACATTTATCAGTTGTTTTATTTCCCCTTTATCCATTATCCTGTCCATATAATCCAGTGTTACTATTCCCTTTGTCCATCATTACATATCCATTATTATTTCCCTTCATTCCATCATTACCTTATCAGTGTTACTATTCCCCTTGCAATCCATTTACCTTTATCCAGTGTTATATTCCATCCATTTCATCATTGTCCAGTTTATCCCTTTGTCCATTTCATCCGGTTACCACTTATCCTTTGTCCATCATTACCCTGTGTCCATTCTTCCCTTGTCCATCCATTACATTTTGATGTTAGTTTCCTTTGTCCATCATTGCTATCAGTGTTTATTTCTTTTATTCCATTGTATCCAGCGTTATGTCCCCTTTATCCATCATTCACATATCAGTGTTACATTATCCCTTGTCCAATCATTGCATCCATCAGTATACAGTTATTCCCCTTTGTCCATCATTACCCATCAGTGTTCCCGACTTGTCCATCCATTCCATATCAGTGTTACTTATTCCCTTTGTCCATCATTACCCATCCAGTTATTGTCCTTTGTCCATTGTCCATCATTCCATCAGCGTTACGATATCCATTCCGGTCCATCATTATATACAGTGTAATTATTCCTTTTGTCCATCGTCACATTAATCAGCGTTACTATTCCCCATCGTCCATCCTCTTCCGTTATTTTATTCGCCTTGTCCATCATTACCTTTATCAGCGTTACCAGTTCCTTTGTCCATCATTAACCATCAGCGTTACTTTCGTCAACCACACGACCATCAACCCCTTTGTCCATCAGTTACTAGTTCCAGTTTGTCCATCCTTTGTCAATCATTATCCATCAGTTACCCTTTTGTCCATCATTACCTATCAGTGTTATTATTCCTTTGTCCAATCATTACATAATATCACCGTTACTTTAGTCCCTTTATCAATCATTATGTAATATATCTTTACTTTATTAATCACACGACACCGTTACTATCTTTGTCCATCATTACATTATCGGTCCATCAGTATATTCCATCAGTGTCCAGCTTTGTCCAACATTACATACCGTTATTCCTTTGTCCATCATTCCATCCTTTGTCGATCATATCAGATCTTTGTCCACGCCATTCCATCAGTAAGACTTTGTCGACATCGCCACGATGACCTTTGTCCATCATCACCATCAGTATCCTTTGTCCATCATCATTACATATCGGTCCATCACATCTATCAGTATTCCATTATCCATCATCAGCATTCGACCACC